TAATTTTCTAAATGATGCATTAAATTCGAGAATATTCTTATATTTTATCTCGCAATAGAAAAAGACAAGATAACGTTTTCGGACTTGTATGCGCGATCTACGGCGGAAGTTACCGTAGATCGAGAACGAATTAAGATAGAATAATTCCGAATGCGTCTCAATTGATGACACAAACTAAAAGTCTCACGAGAGATTAAATTATATGAGCTTTTTAAAGTAAGAAATGATAAGGCTTATTGCACATATTAATCGATCATTTTTAATGGCTATTCATTTTGTTCAATATTTCTGAGAACTACATAGTTTATTAATTTACATTTTTCTCGGCAATTTTAAGAAAAAAATTTAGTAAATAGAATTTAAACAAAGAGCAGTTTTTTGTGTTATTTAATTCTATTCTAAGACAGCTTATATATTTTTTTATATATCAAAGACTGTTAAAAGAATGTTATTTTAATAAAAATACGCTTTTTCTTTGTATCCTTCATTTCAGAATATCAAAGCTAGTAGAAGGACAGACGTTTAACATTAAAAGTTTTCTGATCATACTTGCTGTTTGTGAAAATCTTTTACTTTGGAGAAGCTTTACTTCCTCGTTTTTTTTTTCGACTTGAAGGCCTCGTGTCTCGAGACGAAAATAAACAGGATTATTGCTATTTGAAATAACATCCTCATTTGCAGTCTGAACGATCGCATACATCGTCCGTTGATAAAAAGACGTTCCGATAAAAAGCGTGAAAGCTCATCTTTCTCGCTGCTCGCGTTCTCGGGAAATCCTCATCCTCGATGGAGACACTTACGAGGGCCCGTACTAGGGCATGCCATTTTTATTCGTGTTTCGCTCGCGAGGTGAATCTCTAGAGAAGAGAGAGAGAGAGAGAAATATATCTCTCTTATGTATATATCCGTATGCATCTTTCCGATACTTTTAGAACAAGTCAACGGGAAACGCACTCCTCCACGTCTGCCTTTTGTGTGTCTCGCGAAATGTCCCCGAGTAGAATCGAATCTCTGTGCCGAGACACGTTTGCCCGATGCGTCATTCGTTCGCTCCTGCTGTTAGTGAAAGAGCTCTACCGTCGCAATCGTATTCGCAGACGTATATTTTCGTGTAAAAAGTATGTTTCTATGAATGCGCGCAACAGCTAATCATTTATACGAAATATTTCGACGCGTGTAGAGTTGCTCTCGGTTATGTACATAGATTTCTCGGACATGTCTTATCTTAGTCGCAAAATTTAAATAGGCTATATATGCTTTTTTTATCATCTTTAAGATTCAAAAAGATGTAAATAATTTTGATTTTGCTATTAACAATATTATTTTGAAAATTAAGAATTTACATCGCGAAGTCAAAACATAGATAGGTATATTATCTACGGTACGTAACTATATACATATATTGTCGATAAAAGCATCAAACTTCTGAATTGCTGGTACCTCGTTCGACCACAATTGTCTTAATTTATTGCGTAAGTTTTAGTATATCTCTCTAACCGAGTCTCAATCTAAAGTTTTGTTAAAATCGTGTCTAGTTGAAATTAGCCGAAATATTTAATTCTGATGTTATGTATCTTCGCAAATGTCCAAAGTTCAACTTGTCAAGATTCTTTAATACTTTGTTCCTTAATGTGAAAAGTACAATTTTATTTATTTCAATTAAATATTTATTTCAAGAAACTTTTCGAAACGTTCTAACATCAATCTTATGTAAAGTCTGAACTAATTTTGAAAAATTATCCGATATCTCATTCTTTCAATGTTATTATCAGCATTGCTTAAGAACTCTATTTCCGTCAGTTGTATTATCTCATAAAGAAAAACGCTAAAAAGAACAAAAATACGAGTTTACAAATTGAGTGATTCGCCGTTTCAAGGATTCGAGAAAATATGTATGTATACGATTGTCATAAATCGCTATGTAAAGTCCATCTCGACCGCAAAGGGTTACTTCATGGACAGATGGTCGGGAGCGACTTTATCCCAGTAAAACCCGCGCCCTTCTTCGCCACTCCACGGGAACTTACCCGATCGAAAAAACCTCTATATTGGGCTATTGACTGCAAAAATGCAACCGGTAGCTACGATAAAAATCTACCTTGCGGCTTATCCATTGAACGCGTGCTTGAATTGTTCCACAAAGCTGTACTGCTTTGCTTATCTCTGTTTTTTTCATAAACTGAAAAGATATCACGGCACAGAGATTGTCTTAAATAAAAAAAAAGCTAGAATATTTTTTATTAATTAAAGTTACTTCCACAATGTATTGCGTTGAACGGAAAGTTCGTTCCGTTTTTTACTAAGAGATGACGACCAAAAAAACGGCACGAACTTTCCGTTCAACCCAATACAATAACTTTGATCTCATTTGAAAGATAATTTAATTCTCTACAACTTTTGTTTCGGTACTTTTTGTTAAAAGACGCATACTTTCCCTGATATTTGTAAAAATGTAAAAAATAACCGTGATTTTAGAGGTTTTTGGGCGCTAACTTTTTAAGGAAGCATTTTTTGACCCATGTTTATAGGAAACTTTTTGTTCGGAATTAAATTATCTTTTAAATGAGATCAAAGTGATTGTATTGGGTTGAACGGAAAGTTTGTGCCATTTTTCGGTCTTCATCTCTTAGTAAAAAACGGAACGAACTTTCCGTTTAACCCAATATATATTATATGAGACATCGATATTTTATTCATAAATTTTCATTAGGCTCTCGAGATTATTGATATTTTTCATCAAATAATCTTTTATTTCGAATCTGAGAGATATATTGGCTAGTATTGCATTTCTAATAAGCTTTATTGCACACATAATATAAATATATAATGTATAATATATTTAAGAGAACGTATATATTGATGATAAAATTGACATATCAAAATTTTATAACCGTTCGCTTCTTTAACGTTGATCGAAATTGAATTGAAAAGATTTATGGTAAAAGTGAAATGTGATTGTGGCAATAATACAAAAGCCTTCGGAGAGTGATTATAAAAGATCTCACGCGAGATAATGGGAAGATACACATCCACAGCCCACAGTAGAATGATAGCGTGTATTTTGCACGTATAATCCAGTGCTTCTGAACCGCGATGTCCGCGAGTACAATTCGATGTTCGACAAAGCGTGCGTCGTCGATCGACCACGCTCGGGTCGCACCTTGCCGATCAATCGTAATCGATTGATCAATGATCGTGGATGCCTTGCGCTTCGCGGCACGGAACCGAATTTCGATTACGATTTTGACCGATGCGCGTGCGTGGACATCAAACGCTGAGGGCTTTAATCATCCCGAAATCCGTGCAAGCATTCCGACTATAATCATTCGATCGGTACGCATCAGTTTAAAAGCGCGGAAGAAACGCGCAAAGGATTATCGTCGATCGAAATGTGACAAATATCCTCAAAGATATTATTTTCGTCAATCGATATTCTGTTTCTTATTTTTTTAGATATTACAATGTTTTTGCATTTTTCTTTCGAAGATACAAAGGAAGTTTTCATTGCTTTTGCTCAGCCAGCGCCTATGTCTCGCAGGCGTACGTTACGTTAGGATTTTATTATTTTATTAATTTTCTGCATATATTTTAATTTTTGTTTTTCTATTGGGAAAATTATTTCTCAGGTGTTTGTTATCAAGAATCCGTGCGCATCTGCAAACTACTACAATTCCCTATTTTATTTTCATTATTAATATTTGTTCCGCGATAAAGCTGTTGATCACTTCGAAATTATATTCTCCTATTGTCAGGTTTTGACCAATGCTTATACGCTCTCGCTCTTGATTCTATATTTAACTTTATACTTATATATCTCATAGGTAATATCTCATATTTCTAAAATAAATATTTAATTAAGACCTCTTTATGCTGCTCTTATTATAATTTTTCCGAAAAGCAATGTAAAATTATTTTATTTTTTATAAAAACAAAGCCTCAAGTTCACATCGGTGTAACACTAAATCAGCACACAGCGCTACTTTTTAAAATTATTTTTAGTAGTACAAATTAGTATAATTTTAGTTTTTTTCATGCCTGGTTTTATTTCTTTTTTCATTGTATTTTACTTTGATCTTTTTGAGCCAACTTAATATGAAGCTAGCAGTGCCACGGTTTTTTCCGAGACGGCACGGGGTACAAAATTATTTTTACTAGTACAAATTAATACAAAATGAATAGAGTAAATATTTCAATGGGCCCGATTTGATTCTGCCGATAATGGTACTGCTAGCTTCAAAGAGGTTTCATGCTCGCCGCGTGACAGATTAATCCTGGGCTAAATGGCGACACTTAAGCGCGCCGCGTGTCGTAATTAACGCTGCAGCGGTGCTCGTCTTCTTTTTGCGCTTTTCTGCGTGCGAAAGTACCGCGATCTTGAACATACCAAATTCAAACGATCCGTCGTTGCATAATGATTTATTAGATCCGCAATTGCCACATCGCAAATAAGATATATACATATATTTAACTCTATATTTAATATATACACTACATATGCTTAAGATCAATTAAAATAATTATATTATATTTCTAAAATAAAAATATAATTAAGACGTCTTTATGCTGCTTTTATGCTGATTTCATCGAAAAACAATGTAAAATTATTCTTTTACTTCTAAAATAAGTACTAAATACTCTAATAAGTTCGATTAGATTCTATCGATATGGTTCTGCCAGTTTCAAAGACATCGAAGAAGAGAAAAAGCAAAGATACAACGCGCGAGGAACAGAGAGAGAAAAGAAACTCGCGAGGCGACAGCGACAGAGAGCAGCAGAGAGAAAGAAGGAGAACGAGATAAAGAGAGAGATAAAGAGGTGGAGCAGAGAAGGAGGACCGTGAGGATCACGCGTGCGGTTCCTTCGGTTGTTAGGTCGTTGTTATACAGGTTCTTAAAGGTCCCGTCGTCGCTCCGTCTCACTTCGGCGCGGCCGCGGTGCGCGCGCAAGCCTCGACCGGCATCCACCAGGCGCCGCTGGAGCTGTGGCCGGCCTCGGCCTACGCGAGCGGGCCTCTCAGTCTAATTTGAACCGTCGCGCGCGCCCGACGCGGGGCCACCGACGATCTCTCTCCCTTCCTCCGGCTCTCGTGACACGCGAGGTAGGCGCCTCGTGTGTGCATGCCGCGTGCGACACACGCGACTCGATCCCCCCGTCGTCGTCGATATCTCGCGTCTGGAGCCGCAAGATCATCTACGCGAGAGGAAGCGGTTTCTCGCGCGCGCGTGCGAGAGAGAGATAAAAAGAAAAGGGAGAAAGTGTTTGAGAAACAGAACAAAGTAAGTGCGTGATAACGCGCTCGCGGTTGACAATTACGTGCAACGTGAATCGGCGAAAGTACTGTGTTCCGAGAAACGAAATGATCGTATGTAACGGGACGGGCGCGCGCGCGAGAGAGTGGTGAACAGCGGGCGAAAAGAGTGTAGTAAGTGTGAATAGAGTGTAGAAAAGCGAACGAACGAGCGTGCGGGCGGCCGCAAGAACCGAGAGAGCAGTAGCGGGCGTCTCGTGGGTATATTTAAATAGTGTCCCGGCTGGTCAGAGAGGAAACCGACGCTTTCTTCATCGTCATCGCCGCCGTCTCTTCTTCGTATTCCTCTTCTCGTGTCCGACGTCTCGACGCCCGATTCGACCCGTTTCACTCTCTCTCTCTCTATTTCGCTTTTCCCGCTCTATCGAGTGCAACGCGATACGGTGTCGCGGACAGCGCGAGAGGGTAACAGGAGCTCCTGGAATTCCGTTCGATTCGATGTCGAATCGGAGGGGATCGACGTTTCTAGTCGCGGGTGTTCCCTGCTGCAAGGTCGATCAGTTCCGTCTGCCTATTAACGCGAGTGAACACAAAGATTAGACAACTAACCTCTCGTGATTCGGCCGGAAGCCGGTATTTGTCGATTATCAAGAATCAAGATCCGATCTCGTGCGAAATTGTGGAAGAACTCGCAGTACAACGTTCGACGAGGCCGTCCTGGTTTAAGTCGGCTCAGAATGATTGTGCCGATCGCGAATCATAATGATCAGAATCTATAAAAGATCGATACTGGTTGTCGCGTCCGCGATCGTCGCAGCCGCCGGCCGGGATCATCTGCGATAATACAACACCTTCCCGTAGAGAAAAAGGAAGATATAAAAGAAAGAGACAGAAGCGGCCGCATGGTGCGGCTCGCCACGGCTGCTACCTCCGCCGGCTTCGAGGATGAGGAGAATGATATCGCGTAGGATGAAGACGAATGTCGAAGAAGCCTCGACGTTCCATTATCGATGGTACAACATCTCGTGAAGAGCCTGAAGATCCGGGAGAGCAAGCTGATAGACAATCCGATTTGGTGGCTATTCGAACGTGCGGGACGACGAATAGCGGAGTCGGGGGTCGTCTCTATTACAAGCAGTGACTAATATCGCGCGGGGAAGAAGCAGCGAGAAAATTAAATTGAAGAAACACAGGACTTAATTAAACATAGGACTCGCAAGTGTTTACGACGAAGTGAAAGGGGCTCGCTCTCCGAGCTCCGAAGAAGAGGAAGAGGCGGAAGGAACGCGTGCCTCTGTGCGAGTCGGGGTGACCGAGGCGTCGACCTCACCCCCGAATCACACCGCTAACCAGGTTGGATGATGTGGGCGCCTCTGCTTTTGGCCGGGTTCTTAAGCGGCTGGTGGGGCGCACTGGTGCTCGCTGCAGCACCCCCCGCCATTCGGGACACCCTCGGGGCAACGACGAGCAGCATCACCGAGACGAGGCATTATCGTCCACCGTTGATGAGCGTAGTGGACGAGGACGTGCGCGAAATTACGGTGTCTCAATTGCGAGGAGATACTCTCCGGCAATATACGTCGTCCGACGTTCGTCCTGCTCGTCGCGACCTTGACAAGGTCCCGCCGGTCGAGCTGAGCCCAGTGGACCAGGAAGAAAAATTCTCCTCCAAAGGGATAGAACATTCTCCGGAGGATGAGGCGCGACATATCTCGCGCCACCTCTCGATCCATGGAGGATCGTCGCTCGAGATGGATCTCGGAACTTCGATCACATCGAATCCCACGCGAACGGTGGGTCCCGCGAAGGAGACGAAGGAGCACGTCCGCCGCGCCTTTCACCCGGAGATAAACGAGTCCGGTCTGACTCGCGCGCCCCGTCACTCCTCGACTCAGGCACCCTTTATGTATCCGCCGGCTATGGCGGAATCGTCGATGGAGCGGCCGCGGATCGCTAGATCGGTCAAGCAACGACCAAAGAACCGCGCCAAGGCGGACTCGCCGCGCGAACAGCGACGTCGCTGCAGGAACAAGGAACGTAGCTGCCGCGGTCAGAATTGGTGTCCCGACGTCGACGTCGGTAATCGAGCCTATCTGGCGCCCACGGTGTTCGAGGGTAAAGTACGCAGCATGTCCTCGCTGAGGAAGCCCGGTTCAAACTACGCGGTGACCTTCGAGGTGAAGCAGGTCTACAAGAGCCAGCCGGGCTTTCAGCCGCTGCAGAAGAATGACAGCGTGCGACTTCACTTTCGCGACAAATCGGCTCCCGGCAAATCGACCGTGTGCAACGGCCACGAAACCGGCAGCAAGGCCGGCAAGCAGCAGCGCGATAATCCGAGTGGTGTGGTGCGAGCCAATATTAAAAGGGGCAAAGTGTATCTAGTGTTTGTGAACCGCGTGGGACCCAGGAATTTCACGATCCTTGGCCCGCCGGTGATCCGAAGCAAGAAGAACGAGCAGGCCGTCCAGGCTGTCGTTCGACCAGATTACGGTGAGCTTCAAAAATTATGTGATACGTAGTTCTCAGAGAATCGATCGGTCGATAGAAAGCGATAATCGAAGGCTTAATGTGAAAAATGATCGCGAGAAATGCATCATATATTCTAAATTCTATGATCGATAATATTAAAAAGGATAATTTATGAAAATATTTCTGATGTTCGAAGCGAATGTAAAAATATATTCTTTTATCGCGACGCCAAATAAGAATTTCTATTAATTTTTTTAGGCACTTGTTGCACTTTTTATTTCAAGACGATAACCGAAGACTTGATATGAAAAAAATCGCGAGAAATGCATCATATATTCTAAATTCTATGATCGATAATATTAAAAAGGATAATTTATGAAAATATTTCTGATGTTCGAAGCGAATGTAAAAATATATATTTTTTTTTTTTTTTGTGCATCATTTCCGAATAATTATTATTTAGAGAGAGATTTTTATTAATTTGTGAGGCACTTGTTACACTTTTTATTTTAAATCTTCGATTTAAATCGTTTGTCGCAAAATTGATAAAGATTGTTAAAGCAAAATTTTATTTTACTTATGTTAATTTTAATCTCTGTATTAGGCGCACAGGGCGCTGAAGCAAGAGTGAGTGTGTGTTAGAATGCACACGATATATAGATCTGCACACGAATCTCATTAATACACTCGTATTAATCACAATATATATAATAAAGTCCGCACAATATTTTATAGAAATCCATGCTTTGATTAAAAATATAAACATATTTTGTACATTAATATAAAAGTTATTATTTATAGATAAAAGAATACGCGCTTCTAATCGTAAGTGTACATGTATATCGCAGTCGGACTATATCACACGTAAATTAAAATATTCACGTGCGTTTACATAAGTTAGCTGCCATATTGCCAGGCTATCGCAAAAGGGAAATATGTATACGCGCCCTTGTATTAACAATATTGCCGCGCTATATCCCGGAATTGATCGAGAATTCTACATCGGACGGCGGGTTTCAACTAAAAAACTATCATCCCGGGTGTGTCGAGCTCGATCGTGCCCTCGAGTCATCACAAATCGATCGAAGCGTTCGCGCTCTGCGACGAACAATTACCGGGGACAAGTGAGATATCACGCGATTGCTCCTATTTTGTTTTTGCAACTTTAACACGCTTAAAAATATTAATTCTTTCGCTTGCCGAAATGTTTAATGATTCCGTTTATCGGTGCATTTTACAGATACTCATTATTGTGAGAATCGTCTGAAACGTAATTCCTTTTTTACGCAAGTTTAAATATTTCGAAATTATTTATGTTTAAGTAGCTAAACTTCAATTTATGATTCCGTTAAAATAACATTTGAAATTTATTGAATTTGAAGAATAGAAAATTATTATGTGTAGCTATATCTTTGATTATAACTGAAATATTATTGATGTTTATGTCGAAGGAAAATTGTTTTCCCAGTTTTTAACAAAAAAAAAAAAAATATTGCACTAGCGTAATATGACGAGGAATTTTGCATAAATTGAAAATTGTTTAATTTATGTTTACTAGTATATAAAAAATACATATAGTAAATTTCTGTATAATAATTCTGTAAATTTGACCGACCGATTGTGTTTAGTGAATGTAAAATTTAATTCTGCACGAAGAATTCTAATATACTTTGTAGCGCGACAGCTTTTTAATTAGTGTACTAATTAACGCTACAACTGAGAGTTTCTCACAGTGGCATCAAGTATTACTTTACGAGACTTCTTATTTAGAAACTGAGTTTCCCAAAAGAGAATTATAAATATACACTAGTATTTTTTCTTATAATACAAAGAACTTATTATGTCTCGCAAAGTTAACATCTCGCACTGATCATTTACATTGTCTATTGACAGTTTTAATAGTAATTACTCGACCTCTTCAGCTCCCGGATAAACATCAACAACTCTTTCAATTACCCGTTGAAGAGGTAGTAAGTGGTCTTCTTTTAGAAGAACCAAAGTTCCTTTCTGCATGTTGTGCATGTCACACAAATGGATTAAGGGAGAATTATTATGCTAAACTTAATCTTTTTCTTTTTTATTACGCCACGATCGACTTGAAAGCAATATGTTTTTTCTTTTGATCTTTCAAGTCGTTATACGATGCCAAATTTCTTAATTTTGTTAGTATTTTTGCTTGATATTCATTCAAGTCTCACGATGGGCGCCTAAATCATAACAAATATTAATGAAGATCAAATTCCAATTAATATATTTTATTTCGAACTCGAATGAGACTCGTGTGCAAATCTTGTTTAGCCACTCTTACACACACTCGCCTCTAACACTCTATGCAACAATTGCAAAAGTTAAATTTATAAGGTGATCGACTGAAATAGAATCTAATAAACAAACATTACCATAAGTATAAAATTTTATAATTTTAAGTATACAATAAAATTTTGCTTTATCAATATATTTATTAGCGAATAAATATATTTATTAGCAAAATTTATTCTCGATTCAAGAACGATTTTTGTTATGTTCAATATAAATTTGTAATATTTGCGACATTATCTCGATAAGTTTTAATTTACTTCCGTCGCACACTATCCATATTTTGATTCAATTTTTACTCAATATTAGAGTTATTGAAAATTTACAAGCCAGATTGAAACCTAACGATATCAGAGTCATAGAATTTATAACGTACTCTGCTTTTCGATCTTCTCGATCGAGAACTTCTTAGCAATCCCTTGATGAACCTATTTTAGAACTTTTAATATATAACATCTAGCATTTTAATATATATAACATGCTGTATAACATCGTTTCATAAAATTTATGTTTAATTTTTCTCAAACAGTCATGATATTATTAGCAAGGTAGTTTTATAAGAGCAGCATAAGGGAAGCGTCGCGCGCGATGACGTATAGGAAATATCTCTGTTAATCCCTTTATTTCCGCGAATTTCAAGGACATCGTAATCGCTAAGCGCGAAAAGTAGCGATCGGATTATCTCGAGACTACGAACGCCTACGTGAAAGAGAGGCGCTCTTCGAGCACGATCTCGTCGTCGGACGCGCGCGCCTCGTCGCGCTTTATATTTAACCCGCCACGTAAGTCGCGAGACCCGCGTCGCATCTCGCCGGCTTGCGTCGAGCCGTCGGTCGCGTGTATCGTACATCGCAAGAGAGAGTACCCTTCTTTATACACTCGCGCGTGAACGCCTCGTAATCGTCGATTAGTAATACGCGCCGTCTCTCACGCCGACATCGTCGCGTCGCGTCGCGTCGTGTCGCGTCCCGTCCCGTCCCGTTGTGTCGGTGCGTAACGAGCGGTGAGTTTTTGAAGGTGGTCCAATTTGCTGCCGGCGGCGGTTCAATGCGCTTCCACTTCTCCGCGCGCTCTCGGCGTCGCCGAGACCACTGGCCCCCACTTTGCAGTAGCTGCCGTGGACCGCTGCCGGATGAATCTGCCGCTCGACTCGCACATGACGACCTTCCGCGCTCGATTTATCACGCCAAACGTGACGAACGGCGGGGTTGTGTGCCTCCCTCGAGAGAGAAACACGCTTCTAAAAGTCGTGCGAATAATTTGTATTCGTATTTGGGAGAGAAATTTCATCGATATTCCAGCTTTTCTTTATTCCTTTACTTTATTCATTAATGTCGAAATGGAACTATGTTCCATTATAAGAGAAATATTTGCATTTTTAAGGGCCGCGATGTTTTCAAGTCTTGGATATTGAAAAATAGATACTTTGTTTAAAGTCCTCATATATTATCTTTAATTAATTAAATAGATACTTTCTTTAAAGTCCTCATATATCATCTTTAATTAATTACAATGAAATGTTTGAATGTTTCTTTATACTTTGTATAGGCGTGAAATTAATACAACTCCGAGATTCAAAATTGACAAGTTTCTGAAAATAGAAAAATGCACTTTGTATCGCTAAGAATTTGAGATGAAAGTAGATTGACGTATAGAAATCGCTCTCTACATTGAACGCTAAAAATTTCAATGTTGCTCGTTTAACGGGGATAGAAATCGCTGGCACAAGTAAGAAACACGAGTAAAGTACGATCCGATTTGACTTACCTTAAACGCTCGACGCGGAAAAGTAGAAAGCCAGCGGCGACAAATTCCGCGCGGGCATTGGAGGATGACGAGATCGGTGTCGCAGGTTTGCAAATTTTCTTCTTATCGCTTCGTGAACGTAAACGACAATCGTGAGCGCATCGGTCCCACCTGTCCTTAAGAGTTAACAAGCAGCGGGTATAATCGCGACGACGACAGACGGGAGTGTCGGAATGAGCGAATGAGGCGCACGCGCTCCATCTCCGACGTTAACGGAATAAGAGGAGGCATTAATGAAACTTGATAGTTAGCGGTCACTTCGCGTCGCGACTACTATCCCATTTACCAAATGTCCGAGCATAACATTTACGCTGACTTTTTCTCGGTCGCGAATTTTTTCCGACAGATTTAAAATTGCTTCTTTCCTCTGCATAAATGTAGAAACCTGTTAGAAACTCAGTTGGTGTACAAGATACTAAAGTTATTTTTTATATGTATATATTACATTATAAATTCTAAAAAAAGTGTGCATTTTTTAAATATATTATATGAACTATTTTTATATGTATAGAAGTAACATATACCATCAATTTAAGTATGCATTTTAATATAATAATGATTACTATTATTTTTTTAAGCTATTAGAAGATTATCTTTAGTAAGTCGATTTATTCTCCAATTTTCCTTTCTAAAATAATTAATGATGAGAAATCATTAAAATGGAGAATCACGAATTACAATGATACAATAAAATCTTATTTTATATTTATTTTCTAATAAACTTCTGACAAAAATTTGATTTGATAATTTGATATATTATAAGCATATAGACATTGTTGAAAAGTAAAAAGTTTAAAAGTAAACAAATAGCAAGTTTGGTTAAGAGACAAATGTAAATACGCTAAAGATTTATTTGCTGTATATATATCTGAGACATTCTATAGAGATCGGGTCAAGTG